AACATTGCAAGCCATTAGCATTATTGGTAAGAAAAATAGGAAAAAACTGAAAAAAAAAAAAGAAAAAAAAACAAGAAGAAGAAGAAGAATTTATCATCACCTCATCCAACATTGCCAAAAGCTTTGACATTTTACTCTGCAGCTCCTGTTTTTCAGCCACAGAGAGCTCACACGACGAAGAGTTCCCACTCGCCTTAGGCGTACCCGAAGGACTTCCCAAATCCCCCTCGTTTTCTTTCGAGTCCTTCAAGTTTTCCTTTTTCGCAATTCGCTCCCTAAAGTCCTTCACACTAACAACCTCGTCGAGCAACTCTTGAGCTGCCCTCAAGTACTTCGAATCAGGTACTGCCCTGCCAAATGGCGCGACCTCATTCGCCACTATACCCGTATTAGGACTACTGCTTGGGAGAACAAAATCCTCATCCCTCGTTTGCTTCACTTGATAACCATCTCCATTATCACTAGTAATCAGCCCATCATGCCCCAAAACAGAAGAAAAATCAGGATTATTGTAATGAATGGACGGCATTTGTAATACGGATTGCACGTTTGTGCTGAGGCTAAGAGATAATCCTTGAACACTTGAATTTTGGCTGGCCGGTTGCATCATTAGGATCTCCTCCCTATTGTCTTTCCATTGGTTGAAATTCAAGAGTATTTCTTGCTGTGATGTGCTCGAATCCGAGGGCTGAAAATCCATGGAAGAGTAATTCGTGTACATTATCGTGTTTGAAGGGAAAATAGGCTCATCTGATTGGGATTCGGGCAAACGGTCCCTTAAGTAAACCATTGTAGAAGTAGTATTATGTCTTGGATTGTTTGACATAGGGAAATATGTGCCCATGGATATGTACTAAATCTCTCTTTCTCCCTTTGTCCTTGGTTTTTTTTTCGATAAATCTTAGAGCTCTGTCTGAATGAATCTGAGCATAGGAGAAAAATCTTGTTAACTGGTGAGAGAGATCAAGAGCCCTGAAAGAAATTTCACGAAAAGTAGTCACTACAATCTGAAAAAAAAAAATAAAAAATAAAAAAATCACAGATTTTGTTTTTTCATGCACACTTTATATTGAGTAATCGCGCCGGATTGTAACTAAACGAGTAAATTACACAGACGCAAACTGAGAAATCAGGCATACATTAAGTTAAAGCTTGATCAATCAAGAAAATTCATGAAGATTATGTACAGAAACAGATTATAGCTGCATTTGAACTGGGAAGAAGACTATAAAAGAGTCCATTTGCAGGGAAGGTTTTAATTCGATCCGACCTGCCCTCACCGGCTTTTTTTTTTTTTTTT